TCCCCGGGCCGCCCCCTGAGCCATACCGGGGAGAAGGGTCTGGATGTTGGAGGCAGCTCCTGAGCCTGCCTCCCCCGGGTATGCTCATCCAGCGCACTACCTGGGGAAGCATGCTGGTGCTGACCTCAGTGTCCTCATCTATAAAATGGGGACACAGTTCCCTCTGGGGATTTGCTGTAAGAATTCATGAGGAGGTGTGCTGTGCGGGGGGTGTGGGTGCCGCGCCTGCTCCTGCTTTGCCTCTGCTCTGATCTGGGGCCTCGGGGGTAGCTCACCCTCCCTGTGCTCCTGTCCCTCAGGTCGTGCTGCGGGGGCTGGGGTCCGTGGTGGCGGTGGAGGAGCGCTCGCTCACAGGGACCTGGGGTGTGAGCACGCTGCACCGCTGGAGCTGGAGCTGGAGGACACAAGATCGTCCCCACCGCAGAGGTTTGGGAGCCCCTGGTTCAGGCCGAGCCTGGGAATACCAGCCTGCCCCCCGTCTCACTCAGGAGCTGGCCAGACCTTGCTTAGATCCCAGCTCTGCCCCTTATGGCCTGTGTGACCTTGAGCAGGCCACTTTGCTTCTCTGATTCTGTATCGTCCTGAATCTACCACAGGTCAGTGTGTGTGCGCGCATGCCTGTGTGTTTCTGCAGACCACACCCCTGCCTCTGTCCTGGGTGAGTCCTGAACTGGCAAGCATATCCCTGGGGGTTCTGACATCTGCCATGCTGTGCCTCACACTGCACACACCACCATCAGCTCCTGGGAACCACAGGCAGCTTCATGCCTCCCAGTCTTTCCCATGCTGTTCCCTCTGCCTGCATCACCCTTGTCCTCTTCCCTCTGGCCCACCCCTTCTTAAGCTTCTGCCGAGTCCAGGGCTGGGTCAGGTTCCTCCTCTGTTCTCCTCTCCCCCTATTTCCTCCTTCCCATGCATCTCCTCTGTCCACTGCACACAGCAGAGTGCCATCTACATAGCTGGACACTGAGTCATTTGGGAATGGATGGTTGGATGTAATGATGAATGGATGGTTGGATGTAGTGATGAAAAGATGGATGGATGGGTGGATGGATGGGTGGATGATGGATGGTTGGATGGATGGATGGATGGATGGATAGATGTATTGATGGATGAGTGGATGAATGGATGGATGGGTCTATGGAAGTATGGAGTGTTTGAATGGTTGAAAGGAAGGATGGTTTCATGGATGGACTAATGGATCATGGATGGTTGGGTGGATGGATGGATGGATGGATAGGTGATGGATGATGAATGGATAGATGGATTGGTAGGTACATGATGAATGATGGGTAGATGATAGATGAACAGATGGGTAGATGGATGGATGAATGGATGGGTAGATGTGTATATGTGTATTTCTCTCTGCAAGATGATGAATGGATGATGAATGAATGGGTAGATGGATGGGTGGATGGATGGATGAGTGGATGGATGGATGGATCAATGGAAGTAAGAGTGTTTGAATGACTGAAAGGAAGGATGATGGATCAATGGACTAATTGATCATGGATGGATGGATGGGTGGGTGGGTGGATGAATGGATGAAGAGGTTTCCCTCTGAAGGTTGCAATTAGTGGAACCCAGTAATATAAAGAGCAGGCCCACCAGATGGCTTCAGTGAAAAAGCTCTAGGCATTCAGTGCTACACCCCATGGGAAAGGAGGCCATGTATGGCCGGGACCACCTATATATTATGCTCATGGGAGGGCCAAAATGCAAGGGGCCCAGGACAGTGGGGTCCTGGCAGGACGGGGGCAGCCAAGGACCTTCATCAAAGAGCCACAATAGAGTCTAGGTGGGTACGGTGTAAGAGAGGGATGCTGAGTGG